TTTTCAAGAATTGCTTTGAAATTTCTTGAACACCAGTTATAAACATGCATCTAAAGGCCATTTTCTAATCGGTTGGTTCAGGTTCACAGACTATGCGATGACAAAGGATGAAGAAAATGCAAGAATTTACCAACTACTCCACGCATATCTGGATGCGCTAATGCCTTTTCCTTATGACAACTACGAAGTACTGTTTTCCTCATCTAGTCGTTATCAATTCATTAGTAATTTTAGGGCCCATTACTTCACAATCTTCCAGCATGGGCTGTTGTGTTTTTTTGCCTCCGAGCCGGGAATTGCGAAGCAGCATTGATTTCTTTCGAGGAAGCAGGCCCAGAGATGAGCGAGTTTCTCTGTGCGCTGCTTGAGCTAAAACAAAATCGTTTTATCAGGTTATAACACCAAAGTTCAGATATAATAATTTAATTTTTAATGCCCAAGTTTAGACTCTCGTCAGAAACAGAACTGCAGGTTCTCCTTAATTTCAGAAAATCTCAGCAGCCGAAGCAGGACTACTACAAGATGTATGATATTTTCTAAGTCACAAGTGCTTGTTCTCTCTTGCTCTTTACCAGTCAGATGCCGGGTTGTTTTCTGTAGTCTCCACTAGTCGTTATCTATTTTTACTCATCCTGGGTGGCTACGTCAGTTCTACTATGCATTAAGTATATTGACATCAACAGACATTTATAAATAATATGGTATGGTCTGGAGCGTAGTATGACATGATGTTATTTCCATGCGTGCAACTCACTTTCTTAATGCAATCATGCTGTCACTCGGACAGTTTGCTGCAGCGAAAGTAAAATGAAAGTAGAAAGGTTTTTAGCTGTTGGCACTGGGATGTTGTATATCTTTACATTTCCATAACGAAAATCATGTTTATATCGTTTATGAAACTCCCTTATAATGGGTCTTATAGTGAGATACTGATGATCTTTTACTAAAGCTAAGAGGGATACATTTAAAAGGCTAATATGGTTGGTTGTGGCATGTACTCTCGTGTTTTCTTCCTTACCATCTTTTACTCGTTTGCTCCCCTTGAAATAAGGAAGACAAATGTCAGATTCGAGCTGTATTATATGAATAAGTTGCAAGCGTAAAAAATGAGTGGAGACAAAATATCAAGTATCGAGTTCTTTTAACGTGAACAGCCAGCACCAATGCTTCTCGATAATCTTTAGCTCCAGAAACCGCATTTCACAACTTTTTAAAACCAAGTATTCTTAATTCAGTTCTAGAGGAGTTGAAATGCCGGTTCAGATAACTCATTTCTTTGCTATTATGCGAGACTTTTACGTTTTATGATACTATTGTTTTTTTGCGCATAATTTTGTCTTGTGCCGCTGCTGTGTATTCATTTTAAACTTGGTATATTTATTACTACGTATAAGTAATAGGCAGGGCTTTTAATGACATGCTTAAGTCGTTTCTTCTGACGTTAGTTATTTCTTAAGCTCTGTTGCAGTATATCATTTACTGTATTGATTTGAAATTTATTATACTTGAAATACCTTCGGTTTTTTTGCAATTGCTTTGATATTCAGGGCCATTTATTGTGCCATTGCATTGTGCGATCAGGAAATTGAGCAAGCTAAAGTATCTGAACGATTGGAGGATTGGTTATGGTTGAAGCTTCGACAGGTTATTATGTCTGACGAGAAGTTTCGTTCTGCTGATGGCAAAAAGGGTGACGTTTCACACACTGGGGTTTCGAGGCATCTTACTTTATCAGATTTGCAGCGACAGATTGCTGTGGAATATGGTATTCACTATGGTTTTTCTTTTCTAATCATTTTATTTGAATCATAAATAGGCGAGGCACATTTCGCTAAGGCGCGAACTCCATTGGTTTATTGGACGGCGCTTTTTCTTAGCGGTCAATTCGAAGCAGCGGTTAACTTCATGTTTCGTCAAAACAAAGATCTCAGCTGTCATGCCGTGCATATTGCCCTGATTTTATATCAAATAGGATGGTTGCTGATGCCAGAAACGTTTCATCCTGAACTGTGTAAGTTAAATTTTTCACGTATTCAGTTAATTTTTGGCGATGTTAACTGTGTTGAAATTCTTTGCTTTAAAGTAGACGTGGACATGTCTGGCACAACTTATAGATTAGAGATTATTAGAAATTCTACGATAATATTATTCCCATTGTAACACAGTGACGACACAGTATTCCCATCTGTAATGACTTGCCTCAAAGTTTTGATTAAATAGAATTTTGCATTAAGCTTCCAGGAGCTTAATAGTAAACCTAATATTTCTTTCAAGCTTCTTTAAATCCGACGTATGTAAAAATTTCCTCTTCTACGCAAGTTGAACAAAGTTGATGAGCAACTAAATTTTTTCTATTTGGCTAAAAT